TAATGAGCACAAAAATGTCCATAAAAAAGGATGTATTTCAATTAAACACCCCATTAAAAGGAAGTGAGCGTCACAGCTAATCTGCTGATGCCAAAGTTCTGGTGTTGAAATTAAGCTTGTCTGCCTACTTTTGAAAAACCAACAGATCATTCACAAAATTGTGATATTGTAGCATTCGGATGGTATTTTATATGAATATCCATGTAAACAAATGTTTTGCTGCTATTTCACTTCTATCGACCAACCACTTGTTTTCACACAGACAGTCCAATTAAAGCTAGCTCTGAATCGATAAGATAAACTGACTGCACAATAAATACACTTCCAACCTGCCATCTCATATTATGCTCAAGGTCTGAATTCTAGATTATTGCTGTTTACCTGCAGAACTGGCAGATCTGACGTTGCTCAAAACATTGAGCTGTCCTCATATGCTGCCAATGTACCATTTAATGTCTAAAGACAGTCTCCTGCATAGTCAACTATGCATAAGACTCATGATTAATGATAAAATGATATCAAATACGTCTACCTGTCAGAAAAACCATCCTCTGCACGCATCAGCAAATCATCACAAAAAAGTTCAACCGTTTCTCCACAAAATAAAAGTCTTTATTGGCTCTGATGATTCCATAAAGAACCTTAAACATCCATGGAAACTTTCCATTGTAGAAAATGTACTTTATAGCAGAAAAAGATTCTTTAGGCCATGTCTACATTAATCCGTTTCATTTTAAAACACTGTCTGTGCTTAAGGATTTTCCAAAGGTTTCTCGTCCACAAAATACTGTAAAGTCTTAGTCATCTTACTCAGCCATGTGTAAAATGTAACAAGCTCACTGATACCGCTTTTCCACTGGTGTCGGAGCTGGTGTCCGTCAATGCTAATAATTGAGTAACTCTGTGCTATGAAATCATTTACAATGTCAGAGGAGATTGGGTTCAACACAATGAAGCTGTTGATCTGTAAAGGGCAATTAGGAAAAACAAGACAATCAGAAAAAATGACAAGGCTCCAGGGTAATTAGTCCATGTGACTTTAAAAGGGACCTGTGTGCTAATTAATATTAAGCCTGTTGATCCTTTCTGATGATCCTGTCAAGTCTAGACAGATTTGAGATTCTCAGAGCAAAGCAGTTCAAGAAAACTGGCAACTCACTAACAAACAGATTTACTAAACATTACTGTTTTTGTGTGTATTTTCTGTGGGAAAATTCTGCTGAATGGATTTAAACATGGCAGAACGTGTTAAACTATTAAACTACACTTTTTGTTGTCTGAAAATATTTGCTGCTTACCAATTTGCATATTATCCATCCTAAACAGTATTCAAAATTTGAATTATGGGTTAAACCTGTGTAAGTTTCTTTCTTCTGTTGGTAACCAAACAGCTGATGGTAACCACTGACTTACAATAAATAAATAAATAAATAAATACCATGGAAGTCATTGGCTACCGTCAACTGTTTGGTTGCCAATATTCTTCAAAATATCTTCTTTGTGTTCAACAGAATAAAGAAAGGACGTGTGGGTGAGTAAATGATGACAAAATTCAAATTTTTGGGTGAACTATCTCTTTAACAGCTAATATTGCTCACAATCCATTTTGCTTTTGAGGAAGATTCAGTTTCAGAAACTACAAACACAAATAAGGTGTTAAAAAAAAAAAACTTCAAACACGGTGGATGGACCTGTAGACAGGGTACAGGTAAAAGGGTTTGAGTGATTTATAATCAATATCTAACCTGATGAAAATATTCATGTTCATCTGCAGCGACATTTGCAAAAACAATATTTGGTGTACACCAGTGTTTCTCAACTGGGTTGGAAGACCGTTCTGAGTGGGTCGCGGAGTGTACAGTCAAAGAAACAACAACAAAAAATTCTAATTCATTCTAAATTATTTTCTAATGACAGACTTTTATTTTGAAAGACGTGCGTGAAAGCTGTTGACACTTCTGTCAGAAGCAGTTTAAGTAAAGTGTGCCTGAGAAAAAGGTGCTGTCCTGATTCAGTATCTGCGGTCAGATGAGATGTTGTCAGGCTTAATGTCAGTCATATTATTTTAGCATTATTTTCGTAACTTCTTATTACGAAATAAAAAGTCTCTCACCTCAGAAAAACTAACTTATCCCACATTTTACCCACATATATATATATATATATATATATATATATATATATATATATATATATATTCAAAATAAAAACAATCAAATAAAACACTCACTAAAAAAAAGATTAAATATTTGATCTGTTTTCTTGCATGCCATGTGACCATTAATGGACATCAGAGAACCATGAACATGCAAATGTGTTTTTAAATTATAGAAATATTAACAAATATTTTATGTCTAAGGGGTTCGGCTGACAAAAAAATTGTTTACACATGAATTTCTTTATAAAAATATTTTTAAATAGTTATATATATAAGTGGGTCGTGGCTTGATGACCATGGGAAAATGTGGGTCCATGACCAAACCAGTTGAGAATCACTGGTGTACACAAAAACAGATGGTGCTGATGGAGTATATCAACAAACAGTGAAGCATAGATATCTAAAATAAACAAGCGTGAAAAGTCAACCTTGATCAGGAGCACATGCCTAAATGTGGTATGATTCAAGCAGGTTCACCGTGGAGGAACTGCAGCACACCACACACGTGAGTACTTGCAACATATACAACCACATTTGCTTTACATTTCCAAACATTTCTTTTGCCATTAATTGTAATAATCCTGGGCTTGCAAGGCAGAAAAAAAAATTGTACTGGCTTTTTAGGTAAAATTAGGTTTTAGAAGTTGATTCTGGCAGCTATAGATGCAAGGAAGAAGTATACAAACAGTATACCATAATTCAGTATACAAACAGATGTAGAAAGAAGATAAATTGCGATTATTATATATGCAAATGTGATGATGTTGTTCGGAAGCAGACAGGCATGCTGACTGGTTTACAATAAGCATTTTTAAATAAGAGTTTATTTTTTTAAATGTTTGCATTATGAAATAGCTGAATTGGTTGAATTTGATAAGTTAAAGCTATTTTTGATTATTTGAGGAAAGAGCACCTTCTATATTTGTTTGTTTTTGAACTTTCAAGTAGATCGGACTAGTTAATTTTGTTTTACTAGTAAATAAAATAAAATAGTAAATGCTAATAAAAAGATTTGAAATAAAATAAAATTATAAAATATAAAATAAAACAAAATCAAAATATATAATAAAATTAAATAAAAATAGCACCTACAGGATGAAATTGCCTGCACTACGAATGTGAGTTACCAGTTCATAGGAGAAATTCTCTGGCACTGTATTTCCATACTTCAGTGAATGATAAACAGCTATGCATAGTTATGAAGGTGTGAGGGAAGATGTTCTCTCAGGTGGTCCTCTGATGTTTTAGAACACAATGATTTCCAGACGGCCCCACTGCTGGCCATTAAAAAACCATAAAAATGCATCCCACTTACAGTGAGTCATGGCCAAATCAATACATACCCTCCATCCTAAGCAGGCTATTTCAAGTGCAGCACAACAGGAGGAGGAGAAGCCAATTAATTAGTGCTAAAGCTTCACTTCCTATAGAGGATTAAAGGGAACTGCACAGCGCATGGGAAAAAAACATACCTGAAGGGTAATATGTCATTGTGAAAAGTTGTTAATGAACTTTTAAAAAAAATCCAAATTCAGGATTTGTAATGTGTGCTGATAAGCTAACTGTTGATCCATGAGCTTCTACAAAAGTGGAGCATGTGGTGTACTTGGATTTAAAAAAAAAGAATAATAAATAAATAAAAATGCAAAGCTGCTCTAAAAATATCTGAGCAGGTTCTATAAATAGTGGCGAGTATCTTTTTCTTCTGCTGACTGCACTACAAGAGGTCCGGACTCCGGAGGGAGGGTCTAGTCCTACGCTAACGTCTAACAGCTAGACTAGAACGGGAAACAGAGGCATGTTCAGGGATTCAGATCAGCAACTTCACTGAGCACACAGCTTACATTCAGCCAAAATGTTTTTTTAATGGGAGGAGTCAGCACACTTGAACATCAAAACATATTCAAATGTCATCTAGTGGACTGAATACATTGGCGTATTGTGATAAGTTTTCATATCACAAAAAAGGAAAAAAGGATGAAACAGAATTATAAAATATCATTCACATGATAAAAATGTTAGCGTATTTATTGTACGACCTTGCCTTCAATTTGGTACAGCTGAATATTACACAATATAGTAACCACAAACAAAGCAACACATTTCAGCAGGCGAAATACAGTATCTCTGCATTTCAGTCGTAAAGCATCTGAAAGAAATAGGTTTATCACTTACTAACAGGAAGGTTTCAGGTCTTTTTTTTTTTTTTTTAAAGAGTATTTCCTCTATTATTACTATTAATATATAAGTAATCACATTCCTGCACAAATGTGTTTCATGAAAAATGACAACAATACGTCTTTGGGATCTGGTCATAAATAATAAAATCAATACAAACTAAATAAGTTGAGGTAACAGGGGCGATACCAGCAACACACACCTAGCAAAATGACAGTGACCTGTCAAAACCAGACAAGGAATGCACATGCTTTTTGTGTACAATATCAGAGACGGAGCCTCAGTGTGTTAGAGGATATCTTGGTATCATTTTAAAAAGCCCTATGCAACAGAACCAGCACAAATTCTTCAAAAAGGGAAATATCTCAGAAGAATATAGTTGATTAGCCACAGCTATGTTTGATAGCGCATGAGTCATTCATTCGTGTTGCTAGACAAGTGATACTGATAACACCTTCATTATCCATTATCCCTTACAGCTCTTCAAATGACCGCTTGGTATGTAGTCAGAGCACGTCCTGCTTACATTCATAAAATGTAAACAGAAACCACAAACGTTTATATGGTAAAAAAAAAAAAAAAAAAAAGGAAAAGAAAAGAAAATGCAGGCTGTGCACGATAATATATACTAGTCAAGTAAGAGTGGAGTTGTTTTTTTTTGGTGACCGTTCTGTGGGGTTTGGTGGGGTAGTTCAGTGACATTTATTTATCTTTTCGGACGGTCAATGTCATCGATAGCTGCGAGGAGTTTCTGTCGCGCTTTCTTGTTGATGTGGGACCCGAGGCAGACGTTGACCAGGTTAGTCAGCTGCTTCATAGAGTACTCCTGGTCAAACACAAAACAAACTGGTGATAAATCTCTACTGGAGATGGCTTACATCATTTTAATGAGGAATTAAAGCCGGCCTTGCATGACATGCTTTACTAAGCAGCATCACAGGGCCTTTTTTAACATTTAAATAGCAATCAATTAGTGCTGCATGACATAGAATTTTCACAATGGTTTTGATGGTGATATTAAATTAGATTAGCTTTGAGATATTGTAATTTTGACAAGTTTTAAGACAGGGGTGTTTTAAAAAGATCTCTAATTTAAATTTCAGAAAGAAATGTTGCCAGGTTAGGTAAGTTTGATTCATTTCTGTGAATAAGATCAAACATATATTATTTAATATTCTTTAGTTCATTTAGCCTTGATTGCTTTTGATTTGATTACTACTGATGTGCTTTTTACTTGATTTTACTTTTTAGCAATTTCAAAGCATTTGGCAATTTGAAAGTATTAAATCCTTTTAGCGCCTTTTAACAACCCGTCTACATTGTGTTGTCAGCTGTCATCCATCTTACCCTGTGGTTCTTGATGAACTGCTCCATGTCGTTCTCAGTAAGGTAGTATACTTTGATGTAGGTCTCTACGAACTCCTTGTCTGGAATTGGTCTGAGGTCGGTGAGCTTCTCCAGCTTCATCAGGAACTGCTGGAAGTCCAGCTGCATCAGCGCACGTCCTTCATTACTGCATTTCTTCACATTTGCATAGCTGGCAGAAAGCAGGAGAGAAGGAGAGCAGAGGTGAGTGTGTATCAGACAGATGAAGGGCATTCATTAACTGTTGACAGTTTATGCCACATTAATTGTAGAGACAGTCCCCCACAGTAACCTCTGGTTAAGTGTCTCGCTCACGAGAATGGTGGTGCTTGTAATTCCAAGGGTTACATGTAACCTTATGCCCTATTACTGATGGAACATGGAACCTCACTAACCACCATAATGTAAATGGAATGTCAATAAGAATACATCAATAAACAGATAGTGACTGACCAGAATAAAGTTTTCTAATATCCAGGGCCATGTAACAAGATTTAGAGCATGACAGCTGAGATCATTATTTTTGCTTCTCCCCTTCTGAATGTAAAGACACAATAAAAGAGTTAAAATATAGTGGTGCATATACTCATAAAATTATAAATCTGGTTTTCAGCTCTAGACTGTGGGATATGGCACAATTCAGTCTTTTGACTGGTAAGAGACACCAAATGCTGAGGGCCATTTTTGGTCAGTTTGCCACATTTTGATTTGTCCAGCTTGTGAGCCTTGGTTGCAGACCTGAGCCCTAAGCATCCAACACAACCAAACCATCGATTACAGTGTAGCTGCATCCAAGGCAAACAAGCATCCATGCGGAGTTCAGTGCTGTTGACACCCCGGTTTACTTTTTGGCTGACAGCGGTGTAATTACTTTCTGTAAGTTGAAAGATATTGCTGGGCCTATTGAGTATATCCAGTCTGCCAATATATCCTTCTGTTTCCCTGCCTCCTTCCTTCTTCCTGTCACGTTCTGCTTGATGGCCGGCAATGATTTGGAATGCAACTCGGCGCTGCACTGGCAGAGTCTACTTGCAAAAAGAGCGGCTGAAATGGCTATCAGTAGAATCGGTGCTAGGATGAATTAGCTAAGGGGCCATTTAGATTTTGGAAGATTTTTTCAAAATTTGTCTCGTTGATTACATGTAATTCAGTTCAATTCAATTCAATTCCATTTTTATTTATAAAGCACATTTAAAATCAACCTTAGTTGGCCAAAGTGCCGTACATAAAATTAAGAGAAGAAAATAATACGAAGAAGCACATGAAAAATTACAAAGAATTAAAAGCACAAGAAAAAAAAAAGTTTTTTAATATGGATTTGAATTCGGCTAATGTAGGCGCGGTTCTGACAGACAGCGGCAGGCTGTTCCACTGCTTAAAACCAGCTACTGTGCAACTCGGCGCTGCACTGGCAGAGTCTACTTGCAAAAAGAGCGGCTGAAATGGCTATCAGTAGAATCGGTGCTAGGATGAATTAGCTAAGGGGCCATTTAGATTTTGGAAGATTTTTTCAAAATTTGTCTCGTTGATTACATGTAATTCAGTTCAATTCAATTCAATTCCATTTTTATTTATAAAGCACATTTAAAATCAACCTTAGTTGGCCAAAGTGCCGTACATAAAATTAAGAGAAGAAAATAATACGAAGAAGCACATGAAAAATTACAAAGAATTAAAAGCACAAGAAAAAAAAAAAGTTTTTTAATATGGATTTGAATTCGGCTAATGTAGGCGCGGTTCTGACAGACAGCGGCAGGCTGTTCCACTGCTTAAGACCAGCTACTGCGTTACAGACGAGATTGTGGTACCGACGAAGGATGACAATTTTTTTATCCGAGTGATCTAGAAGGATTGTAAATGACAATTAAATCAGAGAGATATTTAGGAGCTAGTCGGAGTTATATAAAAAAATTGTCCTGGCTATTCCAAGCTCTATCATTGCAGTCAGCGGGTGTTGCAGTTGAACAGTCCACAAGTCGTCAAATAAAGCGCGCACATCCATAATAAAACGTGTCTCCCACGGCTCCGGGGGGTGAATAAATGCCTCCTGTAGTGAATCCATGCATTTTTGTAAGAAAAATATCCATATTTCAAACGTAATAAACACTTTTCTCTCACTTCCGTTATCCGTCATATGCGGAAGCCGTTCCGGCAGATGACGTAGGATGTCGGCGTTGCGTGATTAGTGACGAACGCAGAGAGAGAACAAAACAAAATGCCGGTCATGAATTAGAAGTACAAGCCGAGGATTTGCAAAGAAAAATGCAGGAGGATTTCAATATAAACCAAGAGGAGACTGGTTTTCCTTTGCTAAAGTAAGGAAACTTTGCTTCCTTTGCTCCTATAAACAAAATCGCGAGACTAGCATATCTCAGAGGCACGCGCGCTGTGCATATGTGCTGCGTCATCTGCCGGAACGGCTTCCACTTATGACAGATAACGGAAGTGAGAGAAAAGTGTTTATTACATTTGAAATATGGATATTTTTCTTACAAAAACGCATGGATTCACTACAGGAGGCCTTTATTCACCCCCCGGAGCGGTGTGAGGCACGTATATTATGGATGTGCATGGTTTATTTGACGACTTGTGGACTGTTCCAAATGCAACACCCGCTGACTGCAATGATAGAGCTTGGAATAGCCAGGACAATTTTTAATATAACTCCGACTGGATTCGTCTGAAAGAAGAAAGTCATATACACCTAGGATGCCTCGAGGGTGAGTAAAACACAGTCTAATTTTCATTTTTGGGTGAACTAACCCTTTAACAGACACGCGCACGAGGCAGCCACTGTAAGTCTGCAAGACCGCAAGTGCACATGAAGTGTGCCATTTGGGACAGGGCCTGTGTACTCCGGTTCAGAAAGGTAGGGTAGGGCGAAAAACTCATCTCATTTTCTCCTCCAACTTCAAAATCGTCCGATATCGTTGTTTTACTTTTTTTTTTTTGTAAAGGGCGTTTGACTTTCTTTGCACATTCACTTTGTAAATACGTTTCGGTACTTCGTCTACGTCACGCGTGACCTTTCCAACCTGACTACATAAGGTTGAGCTAGAGCACGATGAGCATTTGTGGTTAAAAAGTACACAAATGTTTTTTTTGTTGTTTTTTTTAGAAAATGACTGATCGTTTCGCTAGATAAGACCCTTATTCCTCGGCTGGGATCGTGTACAGCCCTTTGAAGCTGCACTGAAACTGCAAATTGGACCTTCAGCCCGTTGGTTGCCATTGAAGTCCATTATATGGAGAAAAATCCTGGAATGTTTTCCTCAAAAACCTTAATTTCTTTGCAACTGAAGACAGAAAGACATGCACATCTCGTATAACATGGGGGTGAGTAAATAAGGACATTTTTAGTCTGGAAGTGAACTAATCTTTTAAGAAGCACACAGTTTGAGTTCATGGAGACAGGCTTCCAATCTCTTGTATGCCAAATTGTCTTTACTTTTTTTAGGTAAGTAAAGTTGTGTGCCATCCGAGTAACAGTGGTATAGTGGTATGAGACCCCAAATTTACTCATAATTGATCTCAGAGTTAGCATATATAATGAAAATAATAATGGTGCTAAAATCAATCCCTGGGGTACACCACAAGTGAGGTGAGCTACCGAGGACAAATGAACACCTAAACTGAAAGAAAAACTATTTGACAGAAAAGATTGGAACCATTTAAGTACCCTACCTGTAATACCAATGGAACGTTCAAGCAGAGATAAAAGAATCCTGTGATCCACAAATCTAAAAGCACTAAGGCCTGTGGTCATTAAAATATCATTAAAATCTTTTAAGAGAACAGACTTAGTACTATGAAGGGCTTTGAAGCCGGACTGAAAAACGGCGGAAATGGAATTGATTTGAAGGTAATTCTGCAATTGTATAAAAACAGCTTTTTCAAGGATTTTGGCTAAGAACAGCAAATTGGAGATGGGTCTGTAGTTAGCATATATTGTGGAATCAAGTGATGTATTTTTGAGAATAGGAGTCACAGTGGCGAGTTTAAAGCAGGCTGGAACAGTCCCAGTCAATAAACATTTATTAATGATATGCAAGATATTTGGGCTAACAATATCAAAGATCTGTTTTAAAAAATGGGAAGGAAGAACATCATGAGGGGTAAAAGTAAGTTTAAATTTTAAAGTGATTACTCTACATGTCTGAAGGGAGACCGGCTCAAATTCACTCCACTCCACTGTGAACAGGAGAAAGTAGGATCAGGTAAAGGAAGTATCGAGGTAAAAACTTGGGCTCGAGTAGTATTGATTTTGTTAGAAAAAAAGCTAAGAAAGTTTTCACACTCAGAGGGAGAGGTCACAGATAAAGTCTTAACAGAAGGATTTAAGACGGAATCAATAGTTGAAAAAAAGCATTCTGGAGCAATGAGAGTTTTTTAAAAATGTATGCTTGGCAACCCTGACAGCCTTTTGGAAATTTTGTAGGGAGACATTCATCTTTTCAAATGATAACTGGATCATTCTTCTATCTATGTTCAAGCCATCGGCACTGCTGTCGTAACAATCGGATATCACTGTTGATCCAAGACTAGGACTTGTTTTGGGGATGGACAAGCTACCGAGGTGCAATAGAGTCTAAGATGCCGGAGCATTTATTATAAAAAATTTGTATCTGCTCCTCGACATCTAAATGTGATGTAATAGAATTGGAGATCAGAGAACTGTCAGTCCCCGAATACAATTCTGAGAAGACAGCATGAGAATTCAAGGTCAAAATATGAGACCAACTTGCTTGAAGTGGTAAAGTTTTAGGTGGAGCTGGAAGGAGTGCTGAAAAGAGCACTGGTCTATGATCGGAGAATCACAAATGTCAATATCAGCCATAGACAAACCATATGTTAGTATAAAGTCAAGCATATGACCGTGACCATTCACCCACTGGATAACATTCAACAATGACAATAAATTGAAAAATTCCTTAGCTAAGGCATTGGCAGAGCAGCATACATGAATATTGAAATCACAGAGTATTAGAATATGGTCATGTCAAAACATCCCCTAAAAGGTCTGCAAACTCATTTATAAAATATTATTCCAATTTAAAATAATTTATTCCTGTGATGGCAAAGCTGAATTCTCAGCAGCCATTAGGTTTAGTCTGTGAGTGACATCAGTGTCATATTATCCTTCAGAAATTCATTTTTTGATGAAGAGAAAGT